TATCAAGGCCAAGCAGTTTTTTACTACTTTGGTTTCATGCCATATGTCCCATGAAAGATGATTGTTGCCAGCAGTATCCATGATAAAGATGTTAAAGGGTCTTGTATCCCACCGGTTTGAAACTTCCTCCCATACACTGCGCATTTCTGTGGTACCAATTTAATGCTGTCCGATTTGTTTGTTAATCAGATAGACGTCCTCATAGCTTTTCACTTTCTGTAGTTAAAAGCTAGACGTTTTGCCGAATATAAACCGAAACCTCGTTTCCTTGCCGTTCAGTTGATACTTCATTTGCGTACTTCTGCTAGACAAACTATTTGATGAAACATTTTTTTCAAAATGCGAAGTAAACTCCAGCGATCTTTCTGGTTGACTGATGGCGGGTAACAAGAACTCTTTAGTTCTTTATTGTTTTTTGAAATTGTTTCTTCTCTGAACAATGCTAAACCAATAATTTTATGCAATTCGACCAGTGCTTGAAATGATAGGTTGACGAGTTTACCACTGTTTACAAGTGTACATTAGTGAATTGCTTGCTGAGGCGGCGTCAGAATACAGTGTTACGGTTCTCTAGGTACTGCGCCCATTTAACACACCTCTAAAGGGTGGCGGTGACCGTTTTATCCCTGTTCGTCCGGTTTTTGAGGACGAATGGCAGAGCAGGTATTCAGACCTTAAGGTAAACGCTTAAGCTTATCTCATTTTAAATGCACTTCATTTGTCGTTTAGTTGAAACATTGTCATTCTGAAGGCTCGATATCTGTAGACAGGACTGTCGGTAGATCAGAAGACATGAAGGATTGTGCTGCCTTTCGAGCGCTTCTGAGGAATGAACTGCTAAGTGATAATATCGATGGCGTTCGGGTAGGTATATTTCTGGTTGCCTTTGACTTTCGCTAATATTTAACAGTTGCAGCATAAATCATTCAATTCCGCGCAGCGGTCTCGGGGGTTATTCAGGTACATTGTGAAACGCGTTCCTAAACGGTTGACCGTGCCGAAACCATATTGTCTGGCCCCTTTAAGCCAAAGTACTCTGATGTTGTTGCGTTCTACAAGAAAGGTACTTAACGCTTGTTTTTAAAGTGTGCCATTTCATACTTTTAGCCGGCAAGGAAGATCTACAGGGTGCCGTATAAAGTATTGGACGCTCCCGAGCTTCAGGACGATTTTTATTTGAACTTAGTGGACTGGTCTAGTCAGAACTTGCTAGCTGTTGGTTTAGCATCTAGTGTATATTTGTGGAACGCATTTACCAGTCATGTGACGAAGCTGTGTGATTTGACAGCCGACGCAGATTCCATTACGTCGGTTAACTGGTCAGAGAAAGGTGAGACATTGGCCGTAGGAACGCAACGAGGCTACTGCCAGATCTGGGATGTGGCTAGCCAAAAGAAGGTTTTAAATTTGGAAGGACATTCGTTGCGAGTCGGATGCTTAGCTTGGAATGGCGATCTGGTTTGTTCCGGTAGCAGGGATCGTCTGATCTTACAGCGAGATACTCGTATTTCGCCATTGGGTTCTGCTCGGCGACTCGCTAGTCACAAACAAGAGGTGAGATGAAATTATGGCTGCTTTGTGGCTGGCTTCCGAATCTTCGATAGTTTACTGAAGACTAATTGG